TCCTTAAAATAAAATTAAGATATACCTTTGATTCTGAATGTATTATGTGATATTAACTAAAAACGATCTTCTAACGCCACATTGCAAAATACAATACTAACAAATTTTATATTGTAATAATTTGAAAAACCGTCAAATACATACTCCCTCTGTTCCAAATTATCTGTGGCTTTTGGTTTCCGTTCCGTAAGTTTGACTCGATTTGTAGAAAATACGTGCAACACTTGTATCTCCAAATAAATTTATTAAAAAACTAGATTCAAAGATCTTTCCCGTGATATCAATTATGTACCATAAATATTAATATTTTTAATGTATATTTTGTCAAAGTTGTTTCTTGGGAAACAAAAACGACAGATATTTTGGGACGGATGGAGTATTTTGTTTGAAACTTTTTATTTTTAAAATTTTTAATAATAATTTAAATAATAGCCACTCATGGTATCACTGAGTTAGCATTTTTCAAAAGGCTCTCTTGCTTCCTTGCTACGCCACTAGACCTAACACATATACATTGTTAGTCCTCATAATGACAGTAGATAACTGTCTTAGTCAAAGAATTTCCCTTTTTATAGTAGGAAGGAGATTATGGATCATTTTTGTTTTATTTTTTAATAAGACTGATGAAACCAATATTTAGTGGTTGAGTGCAAAACTCATGCACATGCATGAGTAAAATTCCCTTTTTTTCTTAGAAAAAAGTGATCGTCCTCTTCCGTATAGACTATAGCCAGGCCACACTTCTATATATTTTATTTTCCTTACACTACTCAGAATCCAAGAGTAGCAAGCAATGGCCTAGTACTAATGCAAAAGGCAATCCTCGGTACAATTAGCTGTCCTCTTAAGAACATGCCTGTACTGACCGGTGCCCACTAGACATCAAGTGGAGATATTTTTTTAAAAAAAAAAAAATCTAAGCCATTCTGGTTACCACAAGGAGAAGCGTGGATCCAGCAGGGTCAGAGCTAATTAACTGTTTGTCTTGCTAGCCTCGAGCTGTTCTTCGGTCCCCTCGAGTGTTCGGTTGTCATTATAAGTCGATTTATAAGTCATGGTACAGTATTTTTCTCTTCCAATAAATTAACCGTACAAATCAGCACCAGCGGCTTTACCAGCAGCCAAACAGAGCCGTTGGCAACTGGTGCAGTGGACAGTGGTGTGGTCTCCTGGAGGAAAAAAGAATTGTGCCCGTGGCTGGTCCAACAGCTAGCAACAGCCCGGCAAAGGCAAACCGCTGGCGGGCGATGAACTGTCATGCTGCTGAGATCGGAGATCCAGGGTATGGTAGGATAGCTAGGAACGATCCACCTTCTCCTTCACTTTGTCGGCGTGGTGGCGACTGATCTCATCACATTTTCTCCTACCCACTCTCGCTTCACGTGCACCTTGCTACTCACAGTCACAAGCTAGTTTAGACCCGTTTGGTAGAATCTAAATTCTCTAGAAATATTTCAGCTTCAGATTTCCTTAAAAAAACATTTCAGGTGATGAGTTGAAATCACTTTATGGAACCATTTGATAAGTAGGCTCGATTCCCATTCAAAAGAAAATGTTTTATAAAAAAATTATATAAAAAATATGTTTCAAAAAAACTAGAACTTTTTTTAGACCAACAATAACTTGATTACAACCCATTTTAATTTGCTTCACTAAAAAAGAATAGGAATAAAAAGTATTGTCGCTAGTGTATGGGAAAGACTAGAAACAGAATATAGAGAAAACTTCTTTTTTTTAAAAAAAAATAAGAACAGAATTATCATGAGACGACGCATTACAGGTTTGGGTCAGGGACGAGAGATAGGGCCGGCGGCTCACTCAGCCAGCTCCATCGCGGGCTCGTGAGTGACTGTGACTCCGTAACTAATAAGCCCACTGGACATATTTGGTTTACCGACAAATGGACTACGTGAGGGCGCGCGCGCGAGCCTAGGCGGCAACATTTGCTAGGTTGGTCCGGTTTTGTTGCGTTGCGCACGTACGCGACCGCCAAACGGCAGCTCAGGAGGAGCTCAGTTGTTGGTGCACCAGCCTAACTGTTAGATACTCGGATCTGTGAGAGTGACGTGGCACTTGTTAGTTGCCATGGTTGGTAAACTACACCGAGCATAGGAGCCTACAGCCGAGCAACAAATTCGGAATGTCACAGTCGGTAGGCAAATTGGCAGCGGAAAACGTCGGCCGCCGGTCACGATTCACAGAATCATCACAAGTGACGAGCGAGACGCTTCAGCTGGACGCAATTGGTGGGAAAAGGATGCTCCAGAAAGAGGAGGCGGGAGACCGTCATGGAATTTGTTAAGGAGCTACTGAGCTACTAGGCGAGCCTCCACTTGACTTGTTGCCAATCATCTAACTCAGGATCAGCGATGCTAATTGAGGCAAGCATTTTTTTTAAGGCGTTGAAACACGATATGAGCGTCAATGCGTCATCAACACGGCCCATGAAATGGATAGGTGTCGCGGCTAATGCGCATCACAGTATCAGGTAGGCCATCAAACTACCTACGTAGTCATAAATCAATTGCTAAAATACCGCAACCATGTTCGCTTATACTAAAATTTAGCTTATGCTAATGATTATACTGATTTGTTATGAGAGAAAAATACTGTTCGTTTACTGAAAAACAGTTAAAGCGAACAGGGCTAATATACTCCTGTATACTCATAATGCACTGCAAAGGCACGTACACTGAACCGGGCCGGACCAAAGGCTGATGGCATCGATTCCCTCCGGAACCTCTCCTCCCGGGCCCCATGAGACGCGCGAATACAGTAGGTTATACGTGTGCGGCGAAGATGGCACGACGCAGTCCGGACGGATAATCTTGATTGCTCGCTTGCCGTAGGCGTCACAAAAATATCTAGTACCCCCGGTCGGCACTCGATGGCGGGAAGGCGTACAAAAACAGTCGCGAGTACAGTAGCAGGGGGTGGACCACGCCCAGGACGAGAGAAAATGGCGGGAGTTGGGGGCACGATGACAGCGAGCCGAGACCCGCCGCGGCGGTGGTGGCCTTCCAGCGATCAGGTCAGGTGCGTGCATGCAACCACCTTTCCAGCGATCACGACACCGCAACCCCAACCTCTCGGCATGCATATATCGCTCGTGGGAGCAGCAGCCCTCCCACAACGGCGCCATTCGCAGCCCACAACCGCGTCACCGCCCAGAGTTAGCAGTAGCACAGCACACCACCGTCGTGCGTGCCACCCAAACCGCCACTCGCCGGACAGAGAGAAACGAAGCGGTGTGGCATGTGAAAATCGATCCAGACTAAAGAAGATTTTAAAACAGCGGGTGGGGTACCGTGCGGTTTACCCTAGCGGAAAGAGGGACAGGATCATCGTAACAAGGCCCGAGGCAAGGGAAAGAGAGGGCACTCCATCGGTGGGAACCCGAGGCAAGCCGCTTTCTCTTGGAAACACGCCTTTCCCGGCGACCGATGGATGTGCGACGCACGGTAAAAACTCCAAACAGAAGACGGCGCACCAAGCGAGAACATAAAAATAAAAGAAAAATAAGCGACCGCTTTGACGGTTTGACCGACCCACCAATGCGACAAAGGTGCATGCAGGCATGCAGCTGGAAGCAATTGCATGCATGCACAACAGAGTATGTTCGTTTGTCTGAATTTTGAAGCAATCTGGATGGTTTGAAGGAATTTGTGAGAAAAAAACACTGTTTTAAATGAAAAAATAAGCGAATCAAAGCTGGATTTAAAGACACGCAAGCTGGATTTAAAGACACGCGAACGGGACCCGAACAAGAGGGTAAAACCATCCACACCGAAGTTCGACCTCCTCACGCCACATCCACAGCGACAACAGGCGCAGGCGCCGAGTCGGCAGATACCCGAATGCGTACAAGCGCGGCGGCGGAGAGCTCGGGCTCCGCGGTGCTCTCCACCATCGGATGGGGCCAACGGCCGGAGCCACCCGTTCCCTGGCTCCAGCTAATAAACCCGCGCGGGACCGCCAGCCAGGTTTGGGCGGGCGCGGCGCGCACCCAACCAGAGGCGTCGTTCTCAGGGATCCAGCGAAGAGATAAATGGCAGCAGGGTGGGGAGATGCAGATCCCATGACCCACCCCGGCCAGATTCTGCGGCGGTTAGGCAACCGGACAAGCAAACGACCGCTGCTCTGCTGACCTCACATGCGTAATCATCAACCAACGGAGAATAGAAGGCGAGAAACAGACTTGATTAAGGCATGATGCGCCACCGGGTTAAGCAATGAAATTCCATATATTAATGTCCCATACTACCATGGGGCAGGTAAAGTACACAGGACTTTGCTGCTGTTGACACTGGAAGCCTGCAACAAGAAGCTGCTAAGCAACTAACCACTTCACTCCTAATGACCCTTGTAACGAAAGTCATGGGCCACTTTTACTACTACTACTACTTGCTAGCACTCGTACAAGCGAAACACAAATAAATCCTTTGCTATCAAAGCAAACGCCCTTATTCATGGAGCCCACGGCAAGCTTCTTTTGCAAGTAAAAAAGTTGCAAAAAAGAGGGAAGAGAGAGGCCTTAGCTGGGTCTGTGCTGGACTGCTGGTAGCACCCAAAGTGAGCAAGCCATTGATGGATGGGGAAAAATGACCTCTTATTTTCTTTTCATCTCGAAGATAAAACCTCATCCAATGCTTTCATTTCATCATTCTTGCAATGCAGGCTTCTTGTTCTTGCAGCAGCTAACACCTCTCTCAAACCCCACTTATTATTATTGTTCCCACAAACCACCAAACTGGGACGACATGGATTTCTTCGCTGCTCGTCCATCTCCACCGCTTTCCGTCCACACCAAAAAAAACCAATATATCACCGGATCCAAAATGAACAGACCTAACACTACTATTGCCTTCCTAACTCTGCTGCTAACACACTACCTAACAAAAGGTACTCGAACTAGTTCCTTTGACTATTATTAGGATTAACTGGAGTGACGACCACACGAAGGGTGTCGCCGGAATCTTTGCGGCTCCCGGCGACTGAACTCAAGAACTGTGGCACAGTGCCGGCGCGGCGACGGGAGCGGAAGCGCGGCGCCTCTGGCTCGCAAGCATGGCGTTGCTCCGACTAATCAAGGCATCTGCAACGGAAGACCTCAACATTAGCAACCACTTGCCGTTTGGAGCATGGAACGCTGAGAACATAACGAAAACGAGTCACGAGATGGTTACCATGATCAAGAACGAAGCCGCCAGGGTAGCGAGGCTGGGCGCCGAGGTCTTCAAGGTTGAGGTTGAGAGCTTGGACGACGCGAGCAGGGACAAGAACCGTCGAACACCCTGCACGACGCGGACAGAGAGCACCAAGTGAGTTGAATGTTCAAGCCAAGAACACCAGCCGAGGGATCCCAGTTTTGAGCACGTAACGAACGGCTTGGCAAGTTGTTGCGCGACCGACGCACCTGTCTTTCTCTTCGGCTCCGCCGGGGCGCCGGCCGGCCTGGGGAGGAACACCCCAGTGCCGTTACGCTCGCGCTTGGCGCCAGGCGGGGTGAGGAACACGGCACGCATGCCCGAGGCAGGAGGCGCCGGCGCGTGGTGCTGCTGCTGCTGCGGCTTTCTGAAGCGGGGGCCACGACGCCGGGTTCAGCCCAAGCGGCGCGTCGCCTCCGACGGGCTTGGCACAGGCGCCCTGGCGCGCGCTCCACGCCGCGGCGGCGGCAAGCTGCTGGCGTTCCCTCTGCAGCTTGAGCAGTTGCTGTTGCTTCAGGAGATGGAACTGCAAACAAACGGAGGAGAGGAAGCGAACAGAGAAGGAAGCGTCAGGGCAACAACAGGAACAGAACAAAGCGGAACGATACAACCGAAGAATCTTGGCGAGAGGACACGCACCTGAGCAGCCTGCATCTGGCGCTGCGAGACCAAGTGCGCGAACGGGGGGTAGTGCCCGCTGCCGGCAGGGACCTTTGCGGAGGGCGGAGCAATCGGCGGTGGCGAAGGGTTGCGCGCCGGCGGCGCGAAACCGCTTTGGCCGCCGCTGAAGCCGTAAGCGTTGTTGGCCGGCAACGGAACGCTGTTCGCGGCGCGCATGCGCGCAACCTGGCCGGCCGCCTCGTACAGGAGGTCCCACGGGTCGGCCGGCTTCTGCTCCAGGGGCGACGACGGCGGCGACGTGCCCTTGGACGCCCCGCCGTTGGGGCTCTCCTGCCCCGACTTGGGCAGCCCGCATAGCGTGGACTGCGGCGACCCAACCGTCACCTCCGCCTGCTGCACAACAACGCGCAATCAGAAATTCCGGCCCACGCGCACAACAACAATCAGAAAGAGAACCAGCAATCCCACATGCATGCAGAGAAAACCAACCTTGGCAGCGGTAGGCGGCTTCCGCTCACCGTCGTCGCCGAGGAGGCCCGCGAGGCGGCGCGAGAGCCCCGCCAGGCTGTCCTCCTCGTCGCTTTCGCTCCTGGCGGCCACGGCCGCCTTCTCCTCCTCAGAGAAGAAGTCGTCGTCCAGGAACTCCTCCGGCAGCCAGAACTCCTCCCCGAGATCCGAACACTCCGTCGTCGACATTTCCTCCACTCTCGAAACCGTCGACGAAACCTCAGGTCCACCGCCGACCGGTGGAGGAGCACAGGCACAGCGACCGGGACCTCGCGGACCAGCAGGCAGCAGCAACCACTGCGTGCCGCAGCTCCTCTCCAAAGCAGAAAAGCGGCGGGTGGATGGAGGAAGCGGCGTGCTTATCAGCGGAAAGAGGTGGAACGGCGAGAAAGAGATGGGGGGGAGGAGGGAGGCGAATAGAATGTCGATGGACGACGACGAGGGGTTTTAAAACGGCGGAGGCCAACGCCTGGGGGGGGCTCTACTCTTATAAAAGAGGACGCCGAGGAGAGAGAAAACAGCAGCCAATGAACTAAATTAACCCTGTTTTGGCGTTTGGCTTCAAACGGCGGAGGCCAACGCCTGGGGGGGCAGGAGAAGCCACTACTATTTTTGGCTCTTATAAAAGAGAGACGCCGAGGAGAGAGAAAACAGCAGCCAATGAAATGGGGCCTAAATTTTAACCTTAAATTTTAAAAAGCCTACGGAAATCATTTTCTTTTGGAGCGAAATGTAGATAAAAAGAAAAAACTAATTTTTTGGTGGAAAATTACGCCGGTGCAAACGTTTTGTAGGTAATTAGTTTATGTTTGAACACTATTTACCAAATAAAAACGAAGGTACTACAGTAGCTCTAAAATCCAAATTTCGCGAACTAAACGAGGGCTAAATAAATTCAGCCCGGAAATCATTTTCTTTTCGAGCCATTTTTCGCCGGTGCAATTCGTAGGTGTGGGCCTGTGGGGCCACCGAGACGCGCCGTAGCTCCCGTATCGTATCGCCCCCAAATGCCTCCCTCCCCTGTGTTCGCTGCGCTCAACAGGATGGCCGGACGGCGAGTGGAAGAGTACTGTGCAGAAGTTGGAGCAGTTATTGTGGCCTGTGGGATGGGTATGTACGTACGATTACGTCCATGCGTGTTTGGATTTTTTTTCTCTCTGTATGTACATGTTGCATCACGTCAATGCCACTCTACCCACTCCGTCCAACGTCAAATGGTTTGGCGAATTTTCAATATCTTTTGTTTGCGATGTCAAATGGTGGTTGAACTAATTTTCAGGAGGGGAAAGAAACTCTTTTTTGGGCATGCAACCCTGTGTTCCTTGACATTTTTTTCCCGGAGAAAATTATTACGGATAAAATCTGATGTCAATTGATGCTGCAGAGCAGCAGCAGCAGCAGTGTCACTGTGTGTCTCGAGAGCAAACGTTGGGCGTCACACGGTCACGGGAGCTTTGCGTCCAACCGTGTCCGTATGCGAGGTTTTCGTGGGCTGGGTGGCGTTTAGTTTTACACCGCATTAAAGACGTGAGCGCTTTAAAGGCAGGGGTACGGAGTGCAAAAGGTGTGTTTATCAAGGCAGGCCCTCGTTTAGTTCGGCCCGAATTCGTGCAAAATCAGTAGCCACAAGAATTGTTCGAAGATTTCGCTTGATTTATTTTGTAGTAATTGTCCAAACGTTGATTACTTTTTCCCTACAACAAACACCAAACTGCACAGCTTAGTTTTGATTTCATCAACGATTCCACATACCGCAACCATAGTGCCAAAGTTTAGAATTTGAAGTAACTAAACACCCCTACAACAAACACCAGCGCTAAGCGAGCTTATCAGCCAAACAACATCCAGCGAACAGGCCGGCTACCGGGTACGGTACAGCTCACGTACTATAGTAGAAAACCCACTGCCCTTGCACGCACCCGATACGGGAGACGGCGCTGCCGCTACCCGCTAGCCCGTTTCGACTGCAGTCAGGATACTCTACAGCGAATGGAGGCGGTGAGGAGTCGAAACGGAACCCACCGGCTGGCTGGCTGCGGGCCTGCGGCTGGTGAGCCCGACTGCTCGACTGCTGCGCCGACGAAGCGGTGTCGCACTGTCGCTGACCGCCCCGAGGACCAGCGCACCGCTTGGTGTTTTAAAATTTTCGGGTCTCAACTCAAGCGTGCCTGCCATCTGCGACAGCGCGCGGCTCGGTATTTGATTTTTTTCGTCCAGCGTTCAATTTTACACGTCCAATTTCGATTTTGGGCCTGCTTGTTCAATGGCCTTGTATTTATTTATTGTCCAATCATGGCTTATCTGGGTTTAAAAGTTCGCCTCGATTTACAATCAAACTGTGTAATTAGTTATTTTTTTATCTATATTATTTAATACTCATGTTTGTGTCCAAAGATTTGCTGTGATGGAGAGAGCTGAAAAAACTTAGAATCTAAACATACTGTTTAGGCCATTTGGTTTCAGAGTATTGATAAAAAACTTAGAATCTAAACGAGGCCCCTGGTTTAGGCCCCATTTGGTTTGGTTTAATAAGTCACCTACTTATAAGTTTTAAGTGAAAAAAAGTGACTTATTTTGCCAAACACCACCAACTTATAAGTAAGTCACCTCGCTTATAAGTTTTTTCACCCCTTTAAAACTTATAAGTCACCCTTTTCAAGGTGGCCTCTTATAAGTCATATACAACCAAACAGGCATGACTTATTAAAGTCACCTGTTGACTTAATAAAAACCAAAGGCCCTCTTTGGACACATATATTAATTAGATAAAAAATAACTAATTACATAATTTGATTGTAAATTACGAGATTTAATCTTTTGAAGCCTAAAACAATCCAAATGATACGTTTTCCAGGCTACGAGGTCAATTTGCAAGAACCTGTCAGACATGCTGACATGACAAAACAGTTCTTTTGACTTTTGGAGTAGTGGTACAGTAGTAGAGTAGGGCTATCATTGCTGCGGTCACGCATGCTGGGCGTACCGTACTGGAATCCGAGTTCTCTCTGCCATTGGATAAGGGCGGGCGCGGGCTCGACCTGCTGGACCCCACCTGTCGGCTGTCTGTCGCCCTCAGGCGTCGGCCCCACCTGCCATTCCCTCGGGGTATGGCAAACCGGGGAGTCCCGGAAACCTGTGAATCTCCGCGCGCCCGCGGCTGACGCACGACGCCGGAGATTCCCGCAACGACCGCACCCACGTCGCTGCCGCGCGGGGCCCTCGCAGGGGCGCCCTGTCCCATCACACGTCGTCCCCCTCCCTGCCTCCCGTCCACTATAGCGGCGGTCTGGTCGCGTGGTGGGGGCAGTCGGCGGGCACCGCTCGCGCTGGGCAGGCGCAGGCAGCCGCCGTCACCGACGCCGTGGGGCCCAGCCATACTCTGACGTCGTGGACACCACGGAGGAGTCATCATCGTATCTATGGCCTCGTTTCTGACGGCTCGTCGAGCCGTCGTTTGCCGCTTTCATCGTGGTCGTGTGAGCCGTCGTGGCCAACGACATGATCGTGGTGTGTGTGGCCGTCGAATTTCACTGGCCTTGGTGCTTTGCTTTTTTTTTGTTTTGGAGTGGTGAAGAAAATAGCACTTCAAACTTGTAAATAATTTTATAAAACAGCACAGCACTTTCCCTTTAAAAAACAGCCCTTCAACTTTTTTTTTTTTGTGCCTCTCATCTAGGTACAGTGGTAGCATCTGTTCGAACACACGCACGCCCACACAATACACACTACTCACACCACCCGTGTACAAACGAACCTACAACTACACTCAGATCTAGAAGACTGCGTCCTTCTTGAGATCACCGAAATCCGCAGATTTCGTAGGCGACGGGCACGTCACGATCCCATTGTGGCATCACGTGTGAGAGGCAGACGCTTGGACCCGGTCCAAACGAAATTTATTTGGGGGCATACCCCGGTGAGACACCAGAGTTGCGATCCCAGGGATCGAACTCGGGCGGGCAGCTCTCGCACCGGAGAAACTAGCCACCGAGCTACGCGCTCATTTTCAACAGCCCTTCAACTGTGTTTTCCGTTTTCTTCACATACAAATGGAACAAATTGTCCATGTTGCATTGAAGGCACCCTCCCATCCGCATTCTACTATTTTGAACAAACAAGTCACGTATAGTACCTACTTCCTCCGTCCCTTAACGCGTATCGTTCTGGGATGGTATCGTTGTCCCTTAATATATGTCGCTGGCCTATTATCGTGGGGCCCATGCATAGGTGCAGGCTCACCACGTGAAGCGATCGGCGCCCACAACAGCTTTATCCCTTTCCCGATTCCCCCTGACACCATCGCTCAGGGCGGCAAATGTTATTAAAAAATTAAAAAAAATGTTCATTTGTGTGGCACGCCTCCTACTTTCAATCTAAGATAGAGAATTAAATGACATGTTCATTGTACGTAAACAGCAGCCGATGAATACTACTCCGTACTTCCTAGGGGTGTCAGGCACTTTTGCCAACTCCCTTGATCATAGTTATTACGACCGAACCGGAGATCGAACCAGTGAACGTCTCGGTTCACGATTTGATTGGTCCAAACCGTTTAGAGCGCCGGTTCAAATAGATCGTGATTTGTACCAAAGACACAAACACCTACATATCCTCATTGCAAGTTTCATTGGAGTTTCATTTACTAGGGAACGGTGGCAACTGGGTTTCTTGGGATGAAGCTCATCTCTACTCTCTCTTGAATTCTATGACATCTCATTATGTTTGCTGGCATGGTACTGTAATAAATGAGTATGAAACCTTCACTAAGGCTTGACTAAGCCCATTCTTAGTGTAGTGCTTCATAACAAAGTTTCCAAGAGCGTTAGATCATCTTTAGAAGTTTATGCTGACAAGTGAAATTTTATTGCACGAATTCATAGAACTGGTCAAAAGAATTTAGCTGTTTCATGGCGTTGACATTAAAAGGCTTAAGAGATAAAATGAATTGCTCACCGTGGTGTTTCGTTTCAATGTCATAGTCTTGATAACTGTGTACACTATATTTCTTCTCGATGAAAACCCACCTATTCAGACCTTTCAAAAAAATCCACCTATTCTCTCTCTCATAAATTATGTGTCATGTCACAAGTTTTGCTTATGTGGCATTTTATTTAATGAGAACATATGACTTTCATTTGCATATAATATTGTGACACATCAGCATATTTAATGACTTGACAGGTTAATTA